GCAAGGACTCAGACTTCAGATCAGATTTAGAGTGTTTTTCACCATGTACAGAGCCTGTATCAAAGGATGATGATTTTAGGGTTGGTAGCCCTTTTGGCCCATCAAAACCTCAGTTACCTCTTTTATCTCAAATCTCTCATGACCCTATTTCCCCCCTATCTGAATCTTTTCCAGACATTAGACAAGAACCATCGCTCTCTTTTTCTGAAAACAGTCCAGCTCAAACTTTCGAGGCCATGTCATGTACTTCTGGGGGCTTGATGAAGCCATCTCTCACCGAGTCTCCCTCCACCCCTAGTTCTAGTCCTCAACTCGGGCAAGTCACTTGTCAATCAAGGTCTTTATCACATAGGTCAGATAGTTTGGAGAGTGATGCATCCATGGCACAAGTGTCAGAGCTTTATATCTTTGAAAGTGAGACACAGGACTTTATCCTAAGTCCTAATGTAAAGCCTCAAGAGATTAAATGTCCAGAACACCAGCAATTATCAGAAACAGGGGGGATGTCGGCAAACCCTGACTGTGATACACATGTCCTGATGAATGATTCAGTAAACCTGGTTAAACCATGTCATCACGGCTCAAATGAGGAGAAAGTTATGGTGGACTATGAGTCACACATGAGCGGTAATGCAAGGCTTGGATCACCTGCGGATCCCTGTGAGGCAGGCTTGATGTCAGGAAATGATGCAGGACAGGGGACAGCAGAGGTCACTGATACAACCCTCCAAAAATGTCAAAGTGACAGCCCTATCGAGCTGTGGCTGGATGCATGCCAGTATCTGACACATGAGGATAAAGAAGACAGGGATGTTTTGAACAAGACAAGTTATTCTGTGATGCAAGGAGTGCTCACAGATACCAGTGACTGGTCTTTTCCCCCAGGAGAGAGACAAGTATCAGGTTACTACCCTGATGGAACCGAGGTGATTGGCTGGTCCAGCGATGACACCAAAGGTTGGGGGCCACCGGTTGAGAGGTGGTCATCAGTAGACAGCTGGGCAAGTGCTCTCTCAGACTGGACGGAGATCATCTCGGCTCCACCTGAGGACTTTACCGCTGCATTCACAGAGATCGGGGCTGAGATAGATGCTTTGACACAGGCACTAGCAGAGGTAAATACCCACATAGATAGAGACACTTCAAAAGGAGAAAAGGGTCAAGCGGCAGCAGTGAAGGCACGTTCGCAACAACCCATGGGTGTCCAGGATCAGCCTCATGAGGCATCAAACGTCCCAGGGGGATCCATCCTCTCCGGGCAGAGCTGCCTCTTTTTGAGTCCTGAATCTGGTGGAGGTGAGATCCAGGATAGAGAGGCGTTCCAGAGTGTTGAATCCTTATGTGATTCAACACAAGCCGCACCAGGACAAAAAGTGTCAGAAGAGATCCAGGGCAGCCAGGCTGAGAGCTCTCAATACCCGTCACATCAGGAATCACTTATGGGATCATCTGCAGCTACAGTGGCCTCTTCTGGAGGATTTGACAAAGGTGTAACTCCTGGATCCACTACTTCTGCTTATCTTGATATTTGTCACTTTGGTGGATATGTGGAGTCTGCGGAGACAGACAGCCTCATCAGCAATGAAGAAGATTCAATCATACTTAATATAACAGAGGATACAGATTTGGAGGATCAAAATGCACCTGCAGAGCTGATAATGGATGAGGTAAGATGACTTACTTTATTGACTGTTTAGTTATAAGTTTCTCACTCTTGTTTTGTTAAATGTAGTCATGTAGCCTGGGCAAAAAAAAGCATGAAATGCACATTCACACGTACAGGCAGATATATAGCCCACAATCTCAAATACAAGTCACCTTCTCTGGAGTGTGTGGCAGAGAGAAAGCAGTGGAAAGATTCACCCTTTATGATAGAAAGAATAAGAGCGGTCACCTTTCCATCAATAGTGCTTGCCAACAGATAAATCAGTCGCGTACTTTGGAAACATGGCCAGAACAGTAAGAGACATTCTCGCCGTTGCCCTTGTCAGTGTTGTCATACTAACTCAAAGTATTGAAAGCCAGTCAGGAGGTACGTAGAGTACTCCTGAGAGTGAAATCCACGTTTGTCACCACACGTCAGAGTCAGAAGTATTGTCACCTTGCTTTGGACTGGAGCCATTCATTTTACACCCAAGGACTGTCGCCTATGCTGTATTCTTTTTTATTATTGGATAAGTCCTTTGGCTCCCACCTCAAAGATTGACAGCTGTGGGTGCTGAAGGAAACAGGAGTGCCTGAGAGGAAAACTTCAGATGGACAGAAATGGCGACTAATAATAGCTGAGACTTCAATGATAATAGCATGCATCCACGGCGTGTCAGGGTGGAGGGGTGAAAGGAGAGCACAGCTGAGGAATGAAACATGACCCTCCCTTGCTCCCTCTCTCTCTCTCTCTCTCTCTCTCTCTCTCTTTTTGTATGCGCCCTTTAACACACCCATTGCCACCACATCTCCTTTAAAAACTCAGGATCAGAACAGCAACAGGTCCACAGACCTAGGAGGCTTTGAAAAGAAATTGGTTTAGGCACAGCTGAAGCTCCTGTTCATAACAGCGACAGTGCAGATTTCACTTGGATGCAGGACATATGGACAGTAGGAATCGATATAGAGGCATGGTGTTTTGGAAAGTTCTGCTTAGTGGCTCTATAGGAAGGTATGTGTTTAAGAGCAGAAGTTAAAATATATGATGCCTATTGGCTGCCTTGTCAAAATTAACTGTTTTTATAAAGTTAGATCCTATTATTACTTTCAAACTGCAGGATCAATAGATTCTGAGGCTCCGATTCTGAAGCATTTGGCGTTCAAATTTCTTATGGACAAAAATCTCAAGTCATAGAACTGTACATTTTGTTAAAACGTCTTCAAATATATTTTTATTCATTTTTGTCCATTTCCATTGGCAGCCCTTTGGAGGTGAACTGTGTAACGTGACAGAAGAAACCAGTATCTCCCAGCCAGACTCCATCAACAAGCAGGAAGCTAAAAGGAGCTGTGGGCCAGCTGAGGTTGATCGCAAAGGAATCGAATGTTCAACAGATCTTCATTTCCTTTCCGTACACACATCGACAAACTTGCACGTGCCAGGTGGGGACATAAAACCTGACCTGGATATTAACGTTCCTGAACACGTGACATCAGACACACTCCCAGTCTTTGACGGGGCTTTTCAGTTGGAGCCACAGGGGGGGAGTCCTAGGTTTATTATGCCCTTGGCTCCTCTCAGTATTGGCTCCTCCTTCGTCTGTCGAACAAGCAGTAGTTTGGACAAAGATCAAACTTGCGCCAAAAGGAATCTCAATGACAACAGAGACCTCAGTTGTGATCACATACAACCTTGCACACTCTGGCCAACCTTGGATGGGATTACAGACAAACACTCATTCAAAGGTGATGAGGATTTGGTTATTAAAAAGGAAAATACAGTAGAGTCTTCTGAGAAATCTTCAGAAGAGCATAAACTGGACTCTAACAGTGAGTGTTCCTTTACTCTGAGAAAAACAATAAATGAGGATATTAATGACCTCGGTAGAGAACTATCAAACTTGGCTGTTGTTCCAGCAGATCACTTTTTTATCTCAGAGAAGAATCGTGTTGCATATGTTACTTTAGATTTAAATGACCCGTTTGCTCCCAGGTTTGCAAAACCCATAGACACAGAATAACATCGAAAAAGGCAGAGGTAAATCAGAAGTCAGCCGAAAAGATGCCTCACAAATCCCATAAATCAAGCTCAGAGGGCAAAACACGCTCTAAAAAAGACAAGTCAGCTAGTCATCATCATGGTGTACAAGCTACCAAGAAACAAGAGAATTTATCTAAACCTGTTTCAACCCAGCAAGTTTGCAAACAGCAGGACACCCATCCTCTTACTGTAGAAAACCATACTAGTGAGAACACTCCAGCTGTGCTTGAGGACAAAGAGGTTAAATTGGTGATTGAGACTTGTGTTGCAAATGAGAAGGCTCCAAGCAAGCCACATGGCAAAAAGAAGAAGAAACATGCTCCGAATGCAACAGGAGCGAAATGTGTTGTGGAACAACTGGTGGAAGTTGAGAATGGAGCAAAACCAAAGACTGCGAAAGGAAGGATTGAGATGTTTGAGGCCAAGCTAGATGCTAAATCTGGGAAAACTCAAAAAGACAGCATTAAGTCAAATAGTGCTGAGAAAATCTTACAGCAAACGGAGGGCAAAGCTTCCCAGAGAGAACAAAAGCCCCATCATGTTGACCACAAAGAGCATCAGACGAAAAACTCTCCCAGTCCTCCGAACGATGATATTAAAAAACGACGACTGTCAGAGATAAGTTTGGAAAGATTGTCGGTGTTTTTGAGTCTAAACTACCAAAGCCAGATGTTTCCATCCAGGCCAAGGGAGAGAAAGCCAAGGCTGATGCGGGGGCAACTCGTAAGAAGGCCTACAGTGAAGTGGTCAAACAGAAAAGCACACCTACGGAAGGTAAGGAATATACATTAAACCACTTATCAGCAGTGCTCCTGCACGTAAAAACACACTCTTATTAAAACCATTTTTCTGCAGAAATCAAGGTAGTGAAGCCCATCCAGGTGGTGTCGGTGAGCGGGGACCCCCAGAGTCTGTGCCTGTGGTGTCAGTTTACGGCTGTGTTCTCCAACCACACTGTCACCTGGAGCAGGGATGGCACTGTTCTGGCTGAGATCAAGAGAAGGTATAGTGCACACAGTTAACATTGTTAAGTGGCTTTTTGAAATGGCTTTGTTTTTCTGTATTTTGTGACACCGTGCATCTCTTTGAAGTGCAGGGGATGAGAGCAGAGCGTCATTGACCATCTCAAATGCATCCCATAAAGACTTGGGCAAGTACCAGTGTCTCCTTACCAGTCTACATGGATCAGTCACGCTGGACTATCTGCTTACATATGAAGGTATAAAACACAACTTTACTACATACTATCTTCAGAGTGGACAAGGAATCTGTACAGTTACAAACGTTTCTTCATTTTGTATATTTTTCAGTGCTTAGTGAGATTGTCATCCCTCCAACTCCAAAGACTATCACATGTAAGTTATGATCATACTAACAAGCTTTATAACACACTTGAGCTTCTGTAATGTGTTTTGAAAAGCTAACAGGTGGCACACTGTATCTGTTTTTTTTCTTCTAGGCGCCCCCGTAGAGGTGGAAGGTGAAGAAGAGGACGTCCGCTGTTCCAGGCTGCTGTTTAAAGAGGATTTCTTATCTGAACAATACTTTGGAGAGAATCAACCTGCCAGTATAATTACTGAAAAGATCCACTTTGGGGAGGGGATGCACCGGCGAGCCTTCCGGACTAAGATGCAAGCGGGTCAGATACCCTTGTTACTACCTGGAGACTCGTGTGTGCTCAAAGTGCACACTTCTATAAGCTATGGGACCAAGAATGATGACGAGCTCGTTCAGAAGAACTTCAGCTTGGCTGTCGAGGTAAGAAAAACATTTAATACATTACAATAGCTGGATTATGGGCATGATGCACTTAAGGTACCAAGTTACATTTAACAGGATACTTTTCTGCCACAAGATATAAATATAAAATTCAATATTTCAAAGATAATCGTAACACTATCCCAATGTCAATCAATCAATCAATCAATCAATCAATCAATCAATCAATCAATCAATCAATCAATTTTTATTTGTATAGCGTCAACTCATAATGTAGTGTTATCTCGAGACACTACAAAAAACAGTAAAATACCTTACTTATTGCTATATTACAAAGATATATATATATATTACAAATATTACTATCCATCATGAGCACTTTAGAAAAGCAGCAAAAGTTACAGTGGTAAGAAAAAAATTAAATTAATAAATAAATCCCTACCACACAAACGTTTATACTTGCAGGAACGTTTATTATTCTGACTAACATAACAAAAAATGTTCTTCAAATTGACAGAATACATTATGACTAATGCTGTCATAATAAATTGAAAAAAAGTGTCATGATATTGAATTTTTTTTAAATAGCTGGATAAAATCTGCATCAGCAACATTCACTTAGGTTTAACATTCTCATTAAAGTCATTAAGTTTTGATTAAATTTCAAATTATCAACAGCTTTGTTTTCTGTATCTGTAGGTTAAAATGCTTCCCTTTCTCACCTTAATGCCCTCTGTGCATTTATAGTATCAGTATGAACATAAATGACGATAAGAAATACATAAAATTATAAAATGTGAGACTTGGTCAACCAACGAGTTCTGACCTCAAAGTAAACAGACTTTTATCAAAGCTTTTTGTGTCTTCTGTTGCTCGTCAAACACCAATGACTTTATATGTTATTAATGTGTGAATAGATCTTCTTATAAACAGAGTAGGTGTATTATAATGGGCTTTTTGTTCTGTAGGAGTGCCAGGTCCAGAACACAGCAAGAGAGTACATCAAGGCGTACACTACTGCAGCCCAGTCTTTGGAAGCCTTTGGAGAGATCCCAGAGTGAGTGATGTGTACTACATGGAGAGCTACAAACATAAAGCACAAAACCAAGCTTTCTCTTTGCATTTATAGTTTTTGACAATAAAGTACTTATTTAATGCTTTCACCAGGATCATTCCAATCTACCTGGTTCACCGTCCATCCAATGACGTCCCGTACGCCACACTGGAGGAGGAGCTGATTGGTGACTTTGTCAAGTATTCAGTAAAAGATGGCAAAGAGATCAACCTGATGAGGCGGGACTCAGAGGCCGGACAGAAATGTTGTGCTTTCCAGCACTGGGTCTACCAAAACACAGAGGGAAACCTTCTGGTTACTGACATGCAAGGTTGGGAATTTAGATACTTTAAAATGTCTCCAAAATACAAGATGCATTTTTTCTATGAACACTTCTATGAAAATTTAAAGTACTAAGTATCGGCCTGGTTTTGGTTTGGTTTTCAGGAGTGGGAATGAGGCTTACTGATGTAGGAATAGCCACGTGTAAAAAAGGGTGAGTCATTTTTATAAAAACAATAACAGATGCAAATTGTTGACATATGCACATGTATGCATTCATATTCTATTTCTTTTCTAGATATAAGGGCTTCAAGGGAAACTGTGCCACCACCTTCATTGACCAGTTCAAAGCCTTGCACCAGTGCAACAGGTTCTGTGAGATTCTGGGCCTTAAGTCCCTGCAGCCCAAACCTAAAAAGCCTGCAGGGGCTCCGAAACCCAAACCCCAACCTGCTGCTTCTGCTGCTGCTGCACCCAAGAAGAAAACTTTTGGGCCAACAGTGAAGGGCAAGTCATAGAAGCAGGTGTACATTGGACTATGGGGTTTCATTTTTATTGACATGGAGAGGGTTTTGATTTGCTTACTCCTGGACCTCAACCTCAGAGTTTCATCTGAGAAAGAGGAAACAAACGTTTTTTGGGCAACAGGGAGTCATATCATGGAGGACATGAAGGATTTGACTCTTTATGCAACCAGTGACTTTTATTTCATAATAGTTTATTCTAAATCTCATGTTGAACATTTGAGAGATTTATTTCATTTTGATATTGATTTCGCCAGAGATGTTTTCTGTTGAAGAGGGTGTTATCGTCCAGGGGGACACTTTACTTGCGGGTTTTGGGAAAACTGTGAAATCGAACGCTTTAACACTTGAAAATGATGTAAAGAATGATGTGATTGCTGACAATGTTGAACTTGGATGTCTTAGAGATTGCTTTAATAATGAGGGGCAATGATCTCATTTTCTACTTTGGTGATGTTTTCGAGCTATTAGTTCATTAAATTAATGAACTTGTTAATTGAATAGAGGAAATGTCTTCCAAGTAGTCTGTATAATAAGTACACACTTTAACTAACATTTACTGTCTAGGGTACTGTGACATAGTATGAGCGGGTAATATTTGTGTTAATCTCATTTGCTTTGCAATGACATAGGTAGTTTGTCGACCTTTTGTTTGTTTTATTTAGTAAAGCTAAAGTACAACAAAAAGCTAGCATTTACATTCTGGAAACAACAAATCCACATTTTATACACAAAGCTCATGTTGAGTTTGCCTTTGCGTGTATTTGTCCAAAAAATTTAAGCTATATTGGTTTCTTCTTTGGGGTAATTCTGTTTTTTGGGGGGGGCATTTATTTTGAATCTCTGGCATTGTTTCAAGGTTCTAAATGGGACAAGCCACAAAGTGAAATACACCTTTTAGTAAGCCTTAGCCTATTTGATCCCAATAGTATGCCAGCTATTCAACTACTGTCCTTCTCTCACAGATAACTTTTAAATAGCTTTAAATAGCTCTAAGGTAGTGGCTAAGGCCAGTGTGTAAGTGAACAGTAGATCTTTGTTATGTGGTTGGTTAAGGATGCACATTGATTTCTTTGTCATGAAGTTAAATCATCACTTGTTTATGTAATTTGAACTAAAGTTGGTAGGAGGGGGGATGTGCATCATTAGTTTGGCACTGTGTCTATGTGAATCGTGATCTTGGTCTGAAGGTATTTGTTAAGTGTGAACATTTTTTTTTTTTTTTTTCATATGTGCAAAGATCTAAACTATAGCAACTGGCAGAAACCAACAGTTTATTGATGTTATTTGCATTGATAAAAACAGTTTTTAATCATGGAAAGGCTAATTACAAGTCTCTGAATTCGATGACATGTTTACATGTTGAAAGAGTTTTCAGCAGCATGACAACAAATGGTCCGACTACTCCAATCCAGGAGGAAGGTCTCCAGCAGCAAATTAAAGCCTCAATAGAAAAGGTTAGTGGGTCAGACTCAGAGGCTAAAGATCATGTACAAATATAATGCATGTCTATTTTTATCTATACCACTCCGGCATGGTGTAATGTGTCTAAAGCTATAGGAACAAGACTGGGACAAGTAGCAGTCAACAATGTATGAATTAGTAAACCATTACAAGAAGCCAGAAAATAAAATAACTTAATGGTAAAAACCCCAACATGACAAACCAGGAAATTGAGGAATATATTGAAGTCCTTTTCCCACTGTAGCTATTTAGTGTGATAATGGCGTTTGATCGACAGGACACAAACACCATTGTCACACTCCACAGCTCTGGAGGACAGCATTTACAGCAGAAATGGCCAATGGAGAGATGGTTTATGCAAACTGGCAGCTGCACGACCTGGAGAAATTAGATGAAACATAGTTTAGTGAAAAAACTGAGACAATCATACAGCATACTAAACAATAAGAGAAAAAAAACCTTGTCCATTCGGTACTTACATTTACACAAAAAATAAAAATGAATGAAAAAATATAGAAAAAAAAGGAAAAGAATGATGCAGACTCTTTGCACAGCACTTATCGAACTGTTCAAGGTCCAGTCAGGTATTTTCTAATCATTGTGGGAGGACTGCAGCTGTGTGCATTTGTGTTTGAGCAAGCAACCATGTAAAAGACCACCTGTGTGATCCACTGTCTTTACGAAATACAAAAAAGTAGTTTAAACCAGCTCATTCATTCTCAAAATCCCAATACTTTTTAAACATCTTTTTTTGTTTCTTCTTAAATGATATAATATACATTTTTACCTGAATATACCACCAACTGATGACTGAATAAAAGCCCATGAAGAACAACCTAACAAAAAATGTGACATTAAGAGAATGGGACGTATCTCAAGATAACAACAAACTCACCTGAAGTCTATGAAGTGGATCCTCTCTCCAGAATAACTGATTGAGGGTTTGTCTCCTGCGTCTGATCCTACCAGCTATTCTCTATTCTCTACCCCTTCCCTCTCACACCAGTGCATCTTTGTCTCCAAATCTTTCCAAATGGGTAAAAGTCCAGTAGTGAGTCCAGAGTGGCATGTTCACGAGGTGATATGTGGTGCATTTTGGTTTGATGCTGTTCCGTCCCGAGTCTTTATGTAGACAGAGCAGGGTTTGGACAAACAGCCAGGTCCACATTAGTGATAAGCTACAGGGGAAGTATTGATCGACCCTGACCAGAGGTAGAGGGTGAGGGGTGGAGGAAGGGTGACTCAAAAAATTGCCTGGTGAGGTAACAGAGCCTAAGTGCCAAAGTTTCCCTGAAAGTCGCCATCAACTGCATGAGTCCTGATTTTAAAGACTAACTTGTAAATGTATAAAATTACATATTAAGACTAATTTTAGACATACTGACCTTACCCAAGTATAATTTTCTTAATAAAACTTCTCACATATAGGTCACGCTAGGAAATGGCATCCCTTTATTGGGGATCTGATATGTCTCGCTGATAGGTTTTCATCTCTCATCTCTGGAGTCCTAATGGTTAATCAGCGTTTCCAAATAAGATTTTGTGACATCTGTCACCTGAATGCGTGGACAAATTGATGGATAAACCTCGGTACTGTTTATCCGTCAAAAAGCTTAGTTAGCTTAAAGTTTTGAACAGATGGCTGAAGTGGATAGTTAGCTAAAAGTAATTGTTAATCTATGAGAATGGCTTGCTAATGGATACGCTGTTGACACAGTTAGCAAAACGTAATGTGTACAAAGTTAGTTCAAATATAAAATAAAGATAACAGAATAATGCAAAAAAAAAAAGAAAGTTAAATAGTTTAGCCAAGAGTAATGACAGTGGAAATAGCTAAACAATGGACAACATTTTGTTTAAATTAGCTGAAGTTTCCAGATATAACTAGTTCACTTAGCCTAAAGTAATGAATTACATTTAAACTAGTAAGGTAGCCTTTAAGAAAAAGGTAGGCAGAAGTAAGTTACAAGTCATGGGTTAGCTAAAAGTAGGCTACGAGACGAACAATTGAAGTTCGCTTCAACGTTTGGATTAACGTTAAATAGTTAAACGTTAATAGTTGAAATCTCTGATAAAACAAATATGGATAAACAGTTTAAATAGTGAACTAAAGTAGTCCATTTATTGCTGACATAGTTTGATAAAAGAATTGGTTAAAACGTTTGTTGAAAAAGAAAGCTAAAAGTGACAATAGTGTGCTAAAAGAGTAAGAATAAAAAGTTAGCTTAAAGTGGCATTAAATAAACTGTTGAAAATATGTTAAATGTATTGAATTAATGGTTTGATAACATTAGCTAATAGTAGCCTATTGTTAAAAAGCAAGCTAGTAATAATTAATTAGCTTTTGAAAGTAGTAAGCTTAATGTAGCCTACTTAATTAGTAAATTATTTGTAAATTATTTGCTAAAAGTGTGTTTGAAACTGCTCTCTCTCTCTTTTTCTGCATTATCATGGCAGGAGCAAAGGAAAACAAAAATAATTTCACAAACAAACTGTAAAAAAAAAAAAAGTGTGACTGTGAGGGAGGAAATACGCCGATCACAGACCTTTAATTGAACACATTTCCAACATGGACTGGTTGTAGTGTACAATACAAGGAGGGCTACTTGAAAAGGGTTGTGGGGATACTATCAGCAAAAATGTCACAGCTGCTCAACAGTTGTTAAATATTCCAACAATAGTGGTGTTTCTTTTCTTATATGGGGGTAATAAACAAATACATTAGACTAAGCAGAGTAGCAACATCACAGTTGAAAATAAAACATTATTGTATAATTTAGGTCTGAGTTATTGCTTAAACTTACCATCAGACTCAGTGCTTATGATGTAACACAGAATGAAAGGCCTGTGAGGGATGATAAATGGTTAAAATGGTCTTATCTTTTGCGAGCGTTTGACTATCTTTGCACTTTGTGACATTTTTTAGAGCAGGTAGAATATTTTGGAAGGTGGATCTAAAGAAGAGTTGGCTCTCAGTTTGTTTGTGACCAGATTGAGGGTGGAGAGACTTGATAAAATGTCCCCGTACTGACTGGAAGGCTTTTATTTGCTTGTCCTTGGAGCTGATAACTCCTAGATTGTGATTGTGTGAATGAACTGAGGTCCTTTCACCACAACACGTGCACACACACACACACACAAAATTACAACATTCAAAAAGGGGTCAGGACAGCTCCCCTCATTAACAGATGTCACAAAGCATTTTTATCTACATCAGGTTTTTCCATTTTATTTTTAATACAAAACTATTACAGAAATGAGATCAATGGTATGAAGTGACATAAGTGAATCGTTCTTTTAAATGTTGCGCTGTGAAGGAATCAAGGACAAGGAAGATTAGGTTAACAGATGGAAACTACTTGATAAAAAAGTACTTTACTTTCAGCCAGTGCAAAAAAGCAATCCTGGAATCAAGATATGAATTATCAAAATAAATCAATGTCTTACATTTTATGCAGCTTGTAGTTTAAATCATATTTCTCTGGATCTTTAATGTTTTTAACTTCTGTTCTGAGAGAAGTCATAATAACTGAAACAACACAATCTGAGAAGTTTCATTTTTATTTGACTGAAGTTAAATGAACCACAAGGAGTTGCAGAGAGTGGTGGAAACGTTTAACAAAAGTGATATTTTCCCATGATTCGATAAAATAACAAAACCCCTCTAAAAAAAACAAGGACTGAACCAGTTTTGAAAAGGGAGAATCACAGAGGGAAGCTAAGAGGAAATGGTCAAGAAAAAGAGAAGGAATAAAAGGATACCAAAGGATGTAAAGACCATGCTTCACATCTGTTAACTTTTTCTACCTTAGCAGCAGCCCAGATTTACAGACTATTTATATTGCACCAGGTAAGTGCTCCGAATGGAAAAAAGAAAGAATCACATTCAAGTTAATGACAAAACACATACAATAGGAGACATGACCTCAGAGTGATCTATAAAGTGCCCTTTAGGTTCAATGGTGTTAGAAAAAGGAGAGAAACAAAAACATTTTAAAAACAAAGTTTTGCTCTGTAAGAAACATGCTGCTTTATATTCAGTGGCAATCACAGCTTTTCTCTCAAACACCCGCACGCGCACACAGCTTCATTTTAGTGACGTTGATCAGTAATAGTTCTGTTAAATGTAGTTCATACATATATTTATATATCATGAAAGAACTTAAAATGTGTTATTTTTTTCCCAAGAACAATTTACAGCATTATAAACAGCAACAGGCATGAGAATATTCATATAATCATGACGCAAACATCTCAGAGAAACTAGCGTGGGGTTTAGTTTAGTTTTCCCTTTCTCAACCTTGAGACATATTACACGTCTAAATTACAACTACAGTATGTAGTCAAAGCAAACACAAGATACAGTTTCATGCTGCTTTCATAGCACTACAATAAAAACCATTTTATTCAACACATTTGCTATCACCATAACAAATGATATGGATTATTTGCAGACTAGCCAGATTTACACTTCACACACCATGTCATATAGAATTGTCAAAATAGTAAACAACATTGTTCATCAGTACAAATACGTTTAGAGTATTTTCCTGCGAGAATTATACCAATGATTAAAAAACAACGAAAAAACAAAATCTCTTCCATAATGACAAAAACTATAAAAAATCAGTTTCGGGGATCGTTTCATCCCACGTTTTTGAATTCTTTACCAGCGGCTAAAATAACAAAATCATTACTCTACAAAAAGGCTGCAGTGGCGGTTTCTGATCACACAACAGGCTCTACGGAGGGGTGTGGCCGATTTCCTGAAATGTGATTGGCTAGCATTCCTAAGGTAATCTGGTGTTGGTCTAAGGATTTGAGAGAGAGAGAGAGTTGTGATCATAGTGCCATTGCAGTTTCTTAAGAGAAATAGTGCATGTAGGAGCCAGATTAAGGCCATGCTAAGACCCCTGCAGTGAAGGGTGCAGAATACTGTGTTACATAAAGGAGCTATTGAAATGCATGAGTGTTTTCCAGCACTGTAGATTTTCACAGGACGAGGGGAAAGAAACGGCGGATCAGGTGGGGGGGCCAGCTCATTCATCGCTCATGCCTGTACATAATAGATTTCAGCATTCAGCGGGGGGGGGGGGGGGGGGCACTGCCTGTTTTTTCCCCAGCACCTTTAAGAAGCGAGCTACCCGCACTGAAAAGATATAAAGACGTAGGCAAGTTGTCTCGACAAATCGCTGTACAGTCTCGAAACCACCGTGTTGTGGAGGTGGCTCACGTTCAGGCATTACAATACAACATGCTCGCACAGAACTGCCACTACAGCAGCTGGTTTGACATCCCTGTAGCTTTGTTTTTTGTTTTTTTATTGTTTGTTGGTTGGATGCAGTCGAAGGTTGCTTCTTTAGTCGACTCCCTCAAAGCCCTGCGCGTTCTCCACCGCCATGAGGAGTTTCTCTCTCAGGTCCTCAAATGAGTCATAAGTGGGGAGATCCAAGCGGTTGAAACTGGGAAGAAAAAACATTTTATACAAAATTATAAAAACTTCAGAGGGTATTTGACTTGAAAGTGCATAAATAGTTCTTTAAAGTACTAAAAACTTGAAGTCATGCTAGCGGCTGGCTACAATATCTTTATATCTGTTCCAGGACAAAAAATCTAAATGTTTTCATCCAGAAATATTTTTGCCTTTATTTGACAGAACAGTGGCTAGAGTAGGAATTGGAGGGAAATGAGCCACAGGTCGGACTTAAACCTGGGCCGCCCCAGTATGTTGTATATGTTCTTTGCAGGATAAAATATTAGACCTTTGCTGATCACATGACTTTCTTTAAACTCCTACAGCAGGTCAAGGGTTTTAACTTGTCCAATACAAATACACAGCGTTCTAACGTGAGAAACAGGTCAACCCATTTCAAACGCGTGTTAGCTTTGCCATAGTGAGCATATTATCATGCTGATTTGAGCAATTTCAGCATCCAAGGATGGCTCTTTTTTTTCCATCTGCTTGTATGCGTGTGTGCAGGCAGTAGACACATACCATGTGTGAGCTCTTGGTAACTTATCCGGTGTTCCCCACTGCTCGATTGTGAACAGCTGTGGTCCATTAGAACCTGCAACAAAAAATGTTTTTATTACACCTCCAATTTAACCTCTACATTCAATAGTCAATAATTACAGATATAGAGGATGGATAGGAAGAATATGAACAATTAAGGCATTGTGTGATTGATTTGAATATTTAAGTGATCAAAAAACCAAAAGCCTCATTAGTAACTCCTATGTCTACAAGTTAAATGTGAGAAAATAAATAACTAAACATTGATCACATACACACGTAAAATAGATAGTGATAAAATTATTTGACTCCTCTTATCAGGATACTATATTTTTGTCACTGTTTCCTTGTATAATGCACAGGTACTGCAGTTTAATCATAACATGATGTAAAAGTACTGTGGCCATAATAAAAGCAGGATATAGTAAGAAAGCTGAAGCTGACTGGTGTGTTTACGCACCGTAAAGCTCCGCAAAGCCATTCATGGGCACACGTGATGTTCCCGTTACAAACTGGAGGAGTCGGATCCTCTTTTCGGCATCCATCAACAGGACGACCTGGGGAAAGACGAAGTGACATGATCGAACAGGTCACATAATTAAGTTATCAAATATCAATCAAATAAAAGTTCTTTAAAACTGTTGCTTTGTGTTTAAAACGTAAAAGGGCAAAATTCAAACAGAAGCCGTTTAAGCCTGCTGGCATGGGATGACATATAAGTGTTGTTAGTGTGTGTGAGTGTGTGTCAGCATGCCATGTACACAGAAACAACTACTCGTGTGCATTGTTTGCTGTCAGAGTGTTGTGTGTGCTACTGTGTGTGTGTGTGTGTGTTAAAGTCAAGACACATGATAACAGGGGCAGGCGACTACTTTAGGCTCTTTCATCAGAGCAAACAAGCCTGTTCTTCCAAACAGACTTTGATCTTCAAAAGCGAGGCCAGCAAACCTGTCACAGGCAGGATGACTGAAACCAGCATTTCATATGAAGCAATATGTAGCTGACATTTAAGTCAGTCCACCTCTTGAAATAATCAGTTGTGCTTGTGCAGCGTTTTATTGCATGTGTTCACATGTCTGCGTGTTTATGTATCGCCCTCGTACCTTCCAGAACCACTGAATAACGGGGTGGTTAGGGCAGTATCCGTTCTTGTAAACAGTGTGTTGTCTCCAGTCGTTCACGTCGACGTCACCCAGACCGCACATGAGCAGCTACACAAAGACAGGGAGGGAAGCAAGGGAGAAAAAGAAATGAATCATTCAAGTTAAAAAGGTTTATGTTATTTTGCTTATGTCTGTGAACGTTACAGTTCTGGCAATGTGATTGGCGCAAAATGACTAAATTAAGAATCCATACCTCCAGTTCATTTTCATCAAAGATCTTGATCAGATCTACAATAATAAGTTCTGTGAAGCCCTGAAAATAAAAAAGGGAATCAAAAAAATGATACCAGTTAATGTGAAGCAACATAAAAACAAAACATCCCACAAAATGACTGAAAAGCTTATAAATGTTTAAATGAGAAATATTTAAAGGAGAGGACAAGATGCAGAGGTTGGTTCTGAAGGGGGAAACATAAAAAGGTGTGAGGGAACAGTGCCCCCAAGTGGGGAATGTATTAATGCACATAAATACCTCCAGGAAGGCGTTCATCTGCTTCTGGACCCGATTGACAAACCTCCACTGGATGACGAGGCTGTCAGAGGGAAGATCATTGAGATGAGGAAAAACGTGAAAAAAAAACATTTTGAAGACAGTTTTAGATTCAGCAAGTTTTATGATAAAACGGTAACTAATCGTAAAAAGAATCATTTCAGAGGATAAATACTGATCCAATCCTTACTCAATGTATTCCTTTTTGTTGTCATTGGTGACCACCATGTCTGAGCCACTGGGCTTCAGGTCCACCTGGTACGTCTGAGACAGAAAACAACGATAAAGATAAGACAAGGACACTCCTCATACCAAACCACTTTACTGCATTAAAAAAAATGTTGATATAAAAAGATATAAAAGGGACGGATTGAAGCCTCCACACCTGTCCAAAGTTGTCCTCATCGATACAAAACCTCAGGTCCAGCTCTGTGGGATCATTCTCCAGAATCCACTTTAGAGAGTTGTAGTATTCACTGTCCTGTGGTACAGAGGACACAGAGAAAAAAAACAACACATGAAAGCAAGGTCATTCATTATGACCCAGATGGCGGGGTGGGTTTAAAGTGCGTTCCATTTCCGAGTTTTTTCGTCATCACCTGTCCGAGTTAAAATTTAACATCGCTGCTACAAGCACCAACAGTAATGTTTATGCTGTAACTATTGTCTTTATTTGTAACTTAGTCCTCTTTTTGTGTAATTAAATCAATCACTCTGAAAGTATCGTTCAGGTTTTATCTGTTATCATGTTATTTTTGATCACATAGTATGTTCTTATTGTCTGGTATTAGCTAAAAAAAACAAAGGAACTCCTGTTCATGTTGCTTGTTCGACTTGTAACCAACTCGCAACTGGAACAAGGTTAACTCGGGTTAACTCAGGTGTAACATCACCACCAACTCCAAGATCCAAGTTTCGAGGTAAATATAATGCACCATTATTCCTTCACGTCAGACCATGACCAATACGTTAAAAGCACGGCTGATTGTTTAACTGACTAGCAAATTAAAGCCCACTCATCTATTTCAGAGTGCTAATCCTAATTTATCATGATGTATTGATGTCAAGCTGTGATGTCTTACCACTGACTCCATATCTTTCAGGGAAATCTGTTTCCCCAGCATCATCTTGTAGAACGGCCGGATGAAAAAACCTGAAGAGGGAAAACGACACGTCACAATGTGTGTATGTGTGTGTGTTTGATTGGTGTTTTTAGGTTCTTAAAATTACAGAGAAAAAGTTGATTTAGTGTACTTACACTTGACAAACCTAAAAATACACATTATTACACAATATCCAAATGTGTTTTCATCTCAATAACATCATCAAAGACAGGACTACAACATGAAGCAGCATACCATCCAGTAGTTTTCCATGAAACACGGCCATCCCTGCCACACGCCCGATGAACTTGAAATAGAGAGATGGTCCTCGTTGCACAGGCCGGAGTTGGGATTGATTTGGAGAGTGTAGTTGTCCCTGCAGAGACAAGAGCATATTAGTAGTTTTAGAGAAAGTCGTTCAATGGTTTGATACCCAGGTCATTCTGTGGTTCTCCAGCCAGTCAGTCGTTCAACTACCTTGTGTCCTTTTTGTCACAGAAACCTCAAAATGTAAATGTTCAGGGGCACATGCAGCTGCAAGCTATGAGTAATGACAAGGGATGGATTTGGTAAAATTGGAGGATTAATAAATCAACACAACTTTGCCCTTAAATTCATAAAAAAACGTAATAATGCAAATAAAATAATGAAATAATGTTGTTGTTTTTCGCATGATTCAGAAAACAACCCTGGCTGATGTCGTAATAATTTATGCACTGTCACTTAATAATCATCCACACATGGACTCTTCTACCCTTCCTGCAAATTCTGGTGGTTAATTATTTTATTTAAATCCTCTTTAATACTCTACCAAGGCAACAAAACCTGAATGATTCATACTGAAACAATGGTAATGTTGTGTGACTTAAGAAGCATTGTGAAGGTTTTTTTTTTATCTCTATGCATTTAAATCACTTCATTTGTTTTACCTTCTTCTACCTTTGTCCTACAAAATCTGAATGGCGGACTCTTCGTGAATTGATGGTGGTGCCGAGAAAAGGAACAAAACATACAGCGCTTTAATCATCTTAACTCCTACTGCATGTGGGAAACATATTTTCCAGGATGGATTTTTGAATGAGAGGAAAAGTTAATCAAAGTGAAAGGAAACTTGAACAAGTCTCACAGGGGAATAATACAGCAGCTCCACCCTTCACCCACAGTTGTGCACAAAGCCAGACGAAAATATGAGGGAAAAGGACTTCTCCACAGCTGCACACATAAAACATGGTTCCTTCACTGCACCACCTTTGGGAGACTCTGTGTTATATCATTTTTTTTACACAGCTATGTTGACACAGACCAGCAGAGACTCACGTGGCAGAGTATTCAAACAGGCCGTAGTAAGGGTTGAACATCTCCTTGGATAAGAGGAAGAACCACTCTCTGGCCACACCGCCGTAGTCCAGACCTTTCTCTGACTCAAACTCGATCCACAGCCGAGCCTTCAGAACATCCGGCCTTTTAAGGGACATGATTCGACGGTACGACTCTTCAAAGATGTTGTTTCTGTGTAACTTCATCTCGAAGCGGTTGGGAATGTCAGCCTGGAAGAGTTGATAAGAATTATCTCGTGTACAAATATGAAAACAGTAAAGGCAACATATAATCACATTTTCATTTGCAAAGTAAGGAGGACACATGTGACCTGGTAGAAAGTAGGGCAGGGTAACAGAATGATCTCAAAAGAGGGTCTTGATTACATTTATGTTGATAATAATGATGATAGAACAATTGCAACAGAAAACTTTTAAAATGTTTCTTGACCTGCTCATTGTCAGCTTGATCATTTAAGACTTTTAGTAATCTGACATCTACACGTTGAGAGAAACCAGCTGAACTACAGAGAGTTAGCAACAGCTTGACATGCGGTCCCAGAAGCAGCACCAAAGAGTGTTGGAGAAATACAGATCTTTTTTTTAGCATGAAACAGCTTTATTCTTTTTACTGGTTTTGATCATCATTTCAGTACCTGTTCTGTGAATTTTTATTATTCTCTGTCTTGCTGGTGCGACACCCGAATTTCCCCACTGGGGATCAATAAAATCTAATCTAATCTAAAATCGATTTGGAGAAGAGGAGACCGCTGTGGAGGATTGAGCTCTAATAAGAAACCTCGAGACTGATGAAAAATAAAGGAATCCTAACCTAAAACGGAGTTACCAATATTTGTGGCAGCTCAGCTAACATCCCCTCCTGTGCAAACAAGAGCCCAAGATTAACCCTGATTTTTTTCAGATTGTATAAAGACATTGATTAATATAGAAAAAAATAATGGTAATAGCTTTTTGCAATACTGGAAAGCCAAAGAAAGCCACGAAAAAGGTCAAATTCTTAGTATATTAACACAAGATCAGATTCCAGTATTAGAAAACAACTGAAGACCAAAGCAGTAGAAAACACCTCCTCTTGGTGTGAAATGATTGCATTGAATATTCAAGATGCAAAACAAAATGTCAAACTCAGTCACGCAGTGTGAAGAAAGTTAATTAAGTTTGCAATCAGGCATAATCAGAAAAGAAGGTAATCAGACCACCTTCTTGTGCAAAGAGAAGCTGTGAGTTTTCACCATATTTAGCTGTCGCCTGGTGTTGTAAAGCAAAAGATCACTTCTTACCGGTTTCTTCAATTTCTTCCTGAAGTAGTCATATTTCTGCTTGAACTCTCTGGAGTAAGGGACGGCCTATACAGACAACAACACAAAGAAGCGGTTCAAAAAAGGGCATCAAAGTCTTTAAAAGCATGTGGCTTTTAATGGAAGGATTTTCAAAATAAAGTTAAATATAGCGATAGTTCTTGTTTAAAACATCAAAAGCTTCATGCAGTGAAACCAGGGGAGAGGCACTACAATATCTGAAGTGGTGCGTATAATAACATGAAGGTGCCGGCATGTTAAGTGACAACCTCAGTGACAAAGTGATTTATCTTTGTCATACAGACACTGACACTAATGAGTGTCCGTAGCAGGCAAAACCAGAGTGTTAAAAGAGGGACTTGTAGTTTCCACGTAGTAACACTTAGACTCTCTTGAGTAGTGAAGTCATTACTCACGGGTCCTGTGATAGCTGGACTCTGCAGACGAGGGTCCTCCCACTGCGTGTTCTTTGTATCTGGGTTAAAACAAACAACACATACTCTTAGTGCAAGAACAGGATCAAAAAGCACAATCTTATCTTTTATTTATGAAGAATATGAAACATTTGCTGCTCACATTTTGAAAATAACACATTTTCAGATTTTTGGGATTTCCTATGAAAGTAAACTCAGTAACTTTTGGTCAAGTTGGAATTAATGAGTGATCAGAAAGGGTTAACTTTGGCTCTTTAAAATATAAGGGGCATTTTCAGACATTTGATAGACCTAATGTTTACTAAATTAAGCCAAACAGCATTACAACAGCTGTATGTATGTGAATGAGCCAGAAGACTAGCATGCAAGCATGGGAGGCAAAGAAGAACCCCTGCTTTCAGACTTTCTCCAATGTATAAAAAGCAACAGCATTAAAAAAATAAAGGGCAATATATTAATTATTATTTAATCAATAAATCCAGTTAGTGGAAAATCGAGATTTTCTCTTAAACTTGCTCTGCCGCTCCCCTTGGGCTCCCTTAGTTCACATCCTCCCCACTCGTTTACTTTCTACAGAGCGGCTAGTTGGCCTTCAGGTATGAGCCATCCAGTATTTTGCTGAAGTTGCTCTGCCTCATCAGTACTTTAGCTGTACCCTGAAACTGCACAGTGCACTTTTAAAGAAAGGTTTACAGCTTCAATCTTGCACTATACGACAGCATGTGGGAGTCCACTCTGAACTGTCTGCTGACTGAGTATGTGTTGTAATGGATACTTCAGATATGCAAGAAACCAAAAAAATTGTAGGATAGAACTGTCTTACTGTGGTCAATGTAGAAGGTGCGTCCGTCTGAGTGAATTCTTTCTTCCCATCCAGGCTAAAAAAAAGGAGCAAGAAAACAAAAGGTGAGAAAAATGCACACAGTCACCATTGGACATATATCAAAGACGACATGCTCAAATAGTAATTTAAATCCATCCCCTTTATTTTTCCTTTTGAGATTTATGTTTGATTGAACTTGACGGACCAAAAATGGTCCAAACCCTGACAGCCCAGCACAGCGAGCGAGGCAAACTCAATCAAACACCACAAAGGAACCAAGAGGATTTTTCTCTCCTATTTGAGTCACGTCTGAGATGTCAGCAAGGCAGGGATACAACCACAACATTAAAAGAGGTTAATCACCAATACCAGTTCAAACCAGTACACCACCACTGACACGGTGAGCACTTGGTACGGTGTCACAGGCCAATCACACACACTCGTACGGCACCAGCAGTCAGGCAATGACAAAAAGTAACGGAATATTGAGAGTTCAGGCGTGGGGGAAGGTAGCGACTCTGACAATCTGTCAAACAATGTGTAACTGAAGAATATGTGTGGTTAGATATGCTGCTACTGCACGAGTGGAGAGACCGGATTGAAACTCTGACAAGACATGCAGCAAAACAGCCAGCTCCTTCCTCTAACATACACATAGAACTGCTTTTGTTTCCTTTGCATCTCTGTCATCCCTCCCTCGATCCCTTATTTAACCTTCCACTCCACTCATTCTCTCCTCAAGCTGAAAAAATGGCCTCGTTCCACTTTCCCAAATGGTGTTTAACCTCGCCTTTAACACTGTCAACAGGTACACAGACATGGAGCAGTCCGGAGGATCCAAGGACAAAGCTTGGCAGCTCTAAATTTTAAAGAAGGGGTGGCGGTGGTGGTGCAGGGAGGGCGCACAGAGAGAGGAAGTGGTGTAAAAATACTGATTTAAAAAAAAAAAAAAAAGGAAAGGGGAGGGTACAAGTCCATCCATGCCGGTCATGAGAAAGAGAACAGATAGAAAGACAGAGAGAGGAAAAATAAAACAAAACAAAAGTCAAAACAAAAAAAAAGTAAGCGCAAGGCTGTCTTGCAGGCATTTGACCAGACTGGACTGGACCAGACAGGTAGGCAAGGCAGGCAGAGGGAGGGAGGCACCAACCAACCTCCTCTGGTAGGTTCTGCCAAACAGACATGGCCAGGTGTAGAAGAAGTAGCATACATTAGATCCATCAGAACGGAGAGAGAAGAGAAAGAGAAGAGGGAGAGAGAGAGAGAGAGAGAGAGAGAGAGAGAGAGAGAGAGAACATACACACATGCACACACCACACAAGCCTGTGAGATGTACAAACCCATGAAGCTTTGGTTATTTAACAGCTGAATAGAGTAACATTTGGCCCACTAGCTGGGAGGTTCTTTTCCACCACCCCAATTTCTCATCCGTGGTTCTCCTTCTTTTTTAACAGGACTACAAATTAAATGTACATTACGTCCTTTTAAAGTGATCACATGATATTTCTTCATTCACAAAGTTCAAACGTAAAACATTGACAACTTTAAGCTGGCCTGCAGACAAATATGAGGAAAACAACTGCTCAGTAAAGAAATACCTACATGTGACACATTTACATTAGTGAATGGTTAAACAAAGCGAAGCAATTATCGGAATCCATTAGGTCATTGTTACTGTGCTTTGTGGGCCAAAGGTTAAATATGTAGTAGGTCTTATTGTGAGCGTACTTACAGGAAGAGGACCGAGCTCCCCAGGTTCCATCGAGTTCTTATTCCTCAAATGAACGGGATATTTCAACCTGGGATCCTCCTGGTTGTAAAAACATTGGAGAAGAGAAAGAGGAATACATATGAATTATTCCAAAACAGGTACGAGAATATCATGTAAAATAGATCTAAATAATATCTGTTCATTTGTATTCACACCACCAGATGTCACTAAATCATCCTCGAAGGTCCTCGGTACTGTGAGTTCACTGCTCTGCATCTAACTGTTTATAACTGAAACATAATCATCATTAAGTAGGAAAAAAAAAAAAAAAAGAAGACACTTTCTCATCAGTTTCTTACAGCACTTTTTAAAATATATTTTATACTGAAGACCAAAAAAGATTCCTGGATGTTGTTTTGCTAAAGTATTACTTCATTACAGACTCTCACTGGCCATCTTCCTACACTATCGTTGCCAACATTTTAGATCAATATTAATAAAAGTCTTTTTAATTGAATGAACGATAGTATCAAAAAGAACCGAAGCTAAGACATATTTTTAACCTACAGCTGCTGCTGGGGAAAGAGAGAGGACACCGTCTACATCATTTAATAGTGTGCATTAGTTTACCTGCATGTTTATGTGATCAAAAATAAAATAATATCTCATTATGGGGGCCTAGGACTTGATAGAAGATACAAGAGGTATCAGTATTGTTGGATTCTTTACTGGAATCGTAATGACACAACGCTTGTTTTCATGATTTGGTTTGGGGGGGGGGTGTTAGAGGCAATGTGGTAGGGAAGGAAGTATTGGCGTTGAGACTAGCTGGAGCTAGTAGCATAAACACAGCCTACTGTAGCTCTGGGTTTCAAATACTACCTTATAACCCTTATCCACATAAAACCTAATTATCTGTTAATAATATTATTGAGAAAAGAGAGGGAAGATGCTATAAAGGAGATCCTATAGTTGAGTTGTTCATATTGACTTTTCTAAAAAGCTTCAGATTTTGAAAGGAAATTCCTCGAAATCTAAACTCCAGCTGATAATCATTTATTATTTATGTAATATTGGAAATTCTATACCTCCTCATAAAAGCAGCTATTCTTACTTGTCTGCAGTCCTTGTGCTGACCTGCATTGCATGAGGATTGTGCAAGCTATTGATTGTAATTTAAATCTATTATCATTCATAATTATTGGGGGGAAATAATAAGAGTTATTTCCTGGACTTTAACAAGGAAACTGTACTATTAAGCTCTTCATTTGTTTAAAAAAAAAAAAAAACTCTTTTAGCCACAAGAACACAACATCCAAGAGTGTGTGTCAGCTCACCCAGGTTGTGTTTCTGCTGTTGTGGTCGATGAAGAAAGGCCTTCCGTTGGGGGCTATCCTCATCTCCCAGCCCGGGGGCAGGAAGCTCTGCTGGGTCTTATGCTGGGACTTGGGGGAGCTGTAAGGGGATGGCTGTGGGGACTGCGGGTTGGACACCGTGTCCTTTACAGCCCTCCGCACCTGGATGTTGTTGGCTCCCTGGAATCATATATTCAAAAAAATGAATAATAATAAAGTGTAACGTTATCACTCCCATTAGATTCAAAGAAGAGGATTAAATCAGTAATTGAATATTGATTACTGGCAGCATGGAATAAAATCATCACTGATCCTTTGAAACCAAATAACAAGAATGGAAAGCAGTTTTTTTAAGTACTCTGTTAGAAAACCTGATTAGATCAGCAAAGATATAGGAAACGCCATACTTCAGCTTCGTAGCTATGACTACCTCGAGAGAAAGACCCCTAGGTGCTGAAGTAGTTATTACATACCCGACAGGTTAAAAGCTTAATAGAAGTGTTAGTGGCTGACGATGGAGAGTGACTTGAATGCAGGCAGTCATCAGTCTGGAAAAAGGTCTACTCCTGTGTGTATTGTTTTATTGGTTACTGTGATGCACTGCTCACTTATTCAATCATTGTAGCCACTTTAAACATGAGATGCGTCTTGAACTTGTGCGTGATGTGTGATGATTTTTCACGTAGATGTTAAGCCAACGTCTTAAAATGGAGGCTGAAAAAAACGTTTAAATACATTTCTTTTAACTGGTAGCCATGGGAGTTTTTTTTTTTTTTTTTTTTTAAATGTCACATGTTATACAAGTTTAAATAAGTCTCAGAGCTCCCCAAAACATGTCTGTGAAGTTTCTTGTTCTAAAAACACTCTGATCCTGTATTTGATCATGCCTATAAACCCTCGCTATTTCAGCCCTGCTCAGAACAGGCTGTTTCTGTGTCTGTACCTTTAAATGTAAATGAGCTGTGTCTGACCACGGCCCTGAAAGGGAAGTGGCTCGGGCTTTCTTACTGCATGCCCTATTGTTTACTGTAAGAAGTCAGACTCAGCGGGCAGAACAAACACCTAGCTGTGGGAGTGTCACCCACCTGGGGGAGGGGTTACTGCCCTTTGTGATAAAGGGAAAATCTCCAAACAGCCTGTTTGAGCACACATTTACTGAAAAGTGGAGCAGGCAAAAGACGTACAGGATGGACTTTTTTCATAATTGGGGGGTTTGTAGACGGACGAGAGACACATATTAAACATGATAAAATGTATTTTATCATTCATTTTTCATTGATACCCTGGATATTGGGACCGGGGCCTCCTTATCGATCAAAAACGTAAGTAGTTTTTGACTGGATAATGAAAAACTGCAGAACATCTTTTGTTGTTTTTCTATGTCAGATAATAGATGGTAGGCATAAAAAGGGACAATGAATGACAACATAATACCAATATTTCTGAAATTATATGTTTACAAGAAACCTATAATTTCTGGCATTTAAAAGCTTCTAATGCAACATTAAACCGACTGAATTTGCTCCGGCTAATAAGTGTCCCTGCATCACACTATTCTTGTAGCAGTAATTATCACTCTGACTGATCTGATTCTGAACAAGAGAAAAGACTGTTAATTAATCCACAGACCTCCCACCTCCTCTAGAAGTTGTAATTACAACATTCTGCAGCGAGTGTTTCACTTTCTTTGACTTTGAAAATGCCTTGTTAACGTTAGCACACACACTCAGAAACACACGCCTTAATTAAAACTCCATCAGGTCTGTTCCCTTGATAAGAGCACAGGATCTTCACAATAGCTTTTTGATGGAGCAGGAGGTCAAAAAGAGACTGTGCTTTACAAGATACACTGTGTTGATCTCAATTAGCCAAGTTTGAATGATGTATTCAAGCTACACTTGGTAATCTTAAAATCTGTACTTAAAGTTTGTTTGATGACAGAAGGTGTGTCCCCAGTGCGGCCTTGAGGCCCCCAAAAGGCACTGTCCTCCAAAATGAAAACGAAAGTGATGAAAAACTTCCCAGCGGTCTAAATCCACAAGTCAGTCAAACATACTTCTCAGTCTATCCACGGCGACTCCCCCCCCCCCCAATGTATGTTGTGTCTTCAGAGACCCACATCTGATTTTGCTCTTATTCCGAATGTATCGTGCATAAAGGTTAAAGGTACAAGGACAATAAAGAACTTTATCGAAGGTTTTCTGAATACATTAGCACCTTTAAGCTGCAATTGAAGAACATGCTCACTCACAAAACAGCAACACAACGTTTCCAACAAAGTTAGGAAGGGAGCAAAAAGCCTGATAGATAGTTTAATTCAAACTCAAAACCCTTTAATACCACTTGATAGAATTATTTTTCTATAGTAAACTGCAAAATGTCACCTTTAACAAATAAACCTCTCCTATTTCAGTCAGTAACTCCAGATTAGCACTTATTGTACTAACTGTGAAGTCGTTTGAGTAACACATTAACCACCTGCTCTGTCTGATTATTAAACCCCCTCACAAATAAGTAAGTAACTGTCCTCTTGAAGGCCCACAGAGTAGAAGACAGGAATGCTAACATACCGCAGAGGGATTAGGAATTACTATGTCTTAATATTTAATCTGTACACTAAGTGGGCTGAGTCAAATACTTCAAATGCACAGCTGCTGCTTCAAAGTAAAAGCCCGACTTTCATTGAGATTTCTGTAGGAGAGGATTTTACAGCGGCTGCAGGTACAGGATTTACAGTACATAGTTTACTGTACAAAGTGTGTGACTGAGCCCTGAGTGCTCGCTTAATTCTCCATGAAAATTGGTGTGAACACAACTTTGATATCTTCCTGTATTTTCCTGAACGTTCACACACTACCACTGCAATGTTTACTGTCTGATTTTAAATTCTAATCGGTTGACTGTCTTTCAGTGCATTCAAAAGAGAAGTCTAGAAACAAAGAAAAAAAGGAAACTACACCTAATTAAGTCTGCAGAGATTGAAAACAACTTTTAAATGTTTAAGAGCACAAAAAGGTTTTCTAAAGGATGCCATGCTTTAAATTAATCTTGAATGCCTCCCATAATTTAAACAACATTGTTTTATTTGTCTTGTGTTTTAGAAATAGCCTCTAGGTTTAAGGTGCTTCATAACTAACGTCAATGTCATTGATTTCCAGACAGTTAGCTTAAACAAAGAAAAACATTTGTTGTTGCAGAATTAAATGGTAACTGTGCCAAGACTGCATAGTGAACCCAACAAAATTCAATGTCAAGTGCAATGAAAGCTGATTATTTCATGTGACTAATTGACAGGTGAATATCAAAAACAGGAGCAGTGTGAAACAAGAAAGTCGTCTTTGACAAAAAGAAAAATTAGAGGAAAAGATTGGCCAATGATGAGATTAATATCTCTGGATGGTTTGTGAGGATGAAAAAAGAGAAAGGCAGCATGATGACAAGATGTAACCTGAAAGAATGAGAGATGGCATTAGAGGAGTGTTATCTTAAAAAAGAAAAAATGGCAGATGTGGATGGGTGGGTGGGGGTAGTGATGAGGTCTTCTGGGGAAAGGAGTTGATACACTGAAGGATTGCATAACAAAAAGGAGAGAAAAATAAAGTAGCCCTTGGGAAGGGAAAGAGGAGGAAAAAGGATGCATGGGAGTCGTGAAGCGGGATCTTAAAGGTGTCTAAATTCTCACCTCCAAGGGGGTGGAAAGGGTGACGGTAGGGGAGCTGAGGCTACGAGGTCGTCGGACTTGGGGCTCATGGAGGTGGTTGGTGGAGGCATTGGAGGAGGTGGAGGGGGTGGATGCAGGTGTCAGGGCCGAGGCTCCTCCTGACGATGATGATGCTGCTGCTGCTGCTGAGGTGCTGGCTCCATCTTCAGTCAGCTGTCGGTGACAATAGAACTTTTCAGGTTAAGTGGGGTCGAGATAAGTCAGCTGAAGCTTTTTGCTAGAAAAGTTGATCATGGCTGCTGTTGTAAGAGAGGCTTGTTTGCTATCAGAGAGGTCTGGATACAAGCTTTTCTTTCATGAAAACTAGTTCTTTAAACAGGGACCTAGGGATAAGTAACAAAAGGTAGTAGAAGAAGAACAGTTAGTGTTATTATCAATCTTAACCCAAGTGGTTGCTGTAGGGCCCTATGATTTCCCTGATGCAGAAAATGCAGCATCATTACTGAAATGGAATTAGTGGATTTCAAAGTGTGGATGCGTTTCTGTAACATTTTCAACCTCAGCAAAAGAAACAGACATGATCTATTTGTTGATGCCCGGCTCTTCTCTGTGTCCATTATCAAGACCATGAAGGTGGTTTACCTCTACCAGGAGAGATCTCCATGATACCATACGTTGATCACTAAATAAGCTCTAGAGCAGGTTATGTTGGGAATAAGAGATCAACGTGTTGAAATCCCCACCCACTGACCAATCAGATCTCTTTATGATGGTGCTCTGAGAGCTGATCGAGAGGGGAGGAGGGAGAGACACTGACAAACACTTTGACTTTCCTGTATGACTTTTATATCAATGAAAGTAACTGATAGTACTTTACTGATATCATCCTTCAACAGAGCCTGAAATTAGTTTTTTTTAAGATGTAAGAACGCTTTGAATTATGTTTCTTATAAATGCTTATTGGCTCTGTCTGCTACAATCAGAGCTGCAGCTGAAATATTGTGTCTAAAACCGTCATACACACCAAGTGAAGTTTAATCTTAAAACAGCAGATCAAGGCAAATTGAAGGAGAAAAAACAAGATAGGTTTAAAGTTTAAAAAAAGGATCTCATAGGGCCCTACTCATACTAGGAAAAACACACATTAACAATGAGCCACAGCTATGTTTCCACAGACTGAAGGAATACCATGAAACTATTATGTAACACACTTGGCAGTGTCCTCCTCTTCTGAGAAATAACAAAAACAGATGAGAAGCACAGAATAAGAAAAACTGTGATGAAGGACCAAAGACGAACAGAGTGCTCAGATAAAAGCAGAAATGAAAGGGTTCGATATCAAAGGAGGAGAGACTTGAGTTATAAACATACACACATTCCCATGTTGCCGTCTCTTCCTGAGCTCAGACTATATGAAGCTGCGTCAGACAGTAAGACAGGGGAAGACAAGTGGAAAAACAGGGTCGAAATGGGAGAAAGGGAGGGAAATATTGGTGGTTGCACTTCAATGCCAGGGTTTAGAAAGGTGTGACCAAAACAGAGTCACACTCCATCCAGAGTTTCAAACAGAATGCTAGACAAGAGGAGAACCACGAAGTTGGAAAGGGCTGGAAAACCAGACAGAGAAAGGCAGAAGGAGAGACTTTAAGGTTGCAATGCTGCGTCTCTTTCCGTCATTCTTTAAGGGCTACACAGAGGGAAAAACACAGAAGGAAAAGAGGAGGAGGCCCGACACACAGGCTGAAGTAAAGGTCCAGTCCCATGCATAGAGTCCGGGCCAGCCTTCGGACCTGCTGTACCTGCACAATCGGCCTAGTCCAGGTAGTGGTGCGGCTGTTATGGTTGACGAAATAAGTTCTTCCCTTGCCGTCCTTCCTCTCTTCCCATCCAGGAGGCAGGCCGGGGGTGGTCAAGGAGTAAGGGGTGCCCGAGGGAGACTGGCCGAGTTGTAGAGAGAGAGCAAAGCAAAGACAACTAATCAGTACAGGCTGCCATGAGTAGAGACACGTGGAGGGAATCTATTATTTCTTTTGATCAACCTGCGATTGGGAAACGATTCAGGGAACATATGAGTGTCCTCGGAAGTGGATACAAAGGGATGTTTTCATTAAGGTCAAGTTCAGAGTTATTGCCATTTTCCACACCTTTCTAATCATTTAAGACTAAAAACATCAAAGCTAAAAATCATTCCCATTTTGGCTAGATAAAAAGTTAATGAAACAGTTAAAGAGCAAGATATGAAAACTCTACTGGGACAGTAGGTGACTGTGTATGAGGTTAACAAACAGAAACAAAGCACAAGACTCAAGAGCTGAATGTAAATAAACACCACATGGAGGAAAGTAGTAGATCATTGCTGACAATGAGTGAGTGTGTTGAGTGAAATATTAACCATTTGATGAATAAAGATTACTAAAAAATAGTCAATCAAGCAAACATTAACCTTGTGGATAGGTCATAACTGTAGAAAATAAAGCTGGCTTTACTTTTCTGAACATTTCAGTGTGTACAAGTTCAAATCAATAAGGCACACTTTACTGACCCTGACTTTACAGAATGAGGTCCCCAACATATGCAGATTTTCTGTCTGAATCTAATAAACATGAAGTCTGCGTAGGTTCTCAGTTCTCAGTCGAATAAATATTAACAATAAGTTGTGTCCCAAACATTTGCGTGTCACTTTAAAACAGCATTACAATTTGTTTACTCCTTGAAATAAGAAAGTGAGTGTTAGGGTATCTGGTCATTTTTAGGAGTAACTAGTTCATGTATATTCTGTGAAGTAAGTTGAAATCAGAGAATATGAGTTTAGCACATTTTCAGGTTGAAGTGTTCCTAAAGCCAGTGTCTGTCTTCAGTCAAAAATCATGGACGAGGTAAGATCCTCCACTTGAGTCTTCCAAATGGTGGACTCAAGTTTTCCACAAATCCCACTGTGTGATAAATCTTCCCTCTCACTGACTGCATTATGTCAGTTTAAGTTTGTTGCATTTATTCTGTTTAGCATTCATTTATATCGTGTGGATTTATTAACCAGGGTCCTAAGATTTCAAATAGTTTGTGAAACTTCAGTCTGAAATGTTAAGTCATCAACAGCTATTATATCAAAGTGTTACTTTAACAACATTTACGTAAATGCAGCTATCAGGTCAGAAATCCAATATCAAAGGACTGGGATCAGGATCAAGAGCAAAAAAAAAAAAAGAAAATCCTATTGGACAGATTTTGCTTTTTGACTTTTTATCAATGGCATAACCTGACACTGAGGCAAGCGTCAAAATCAACAGACAATGTGTAGATATGCTTTAATACGTTTCCACACCCGCTGATCTATATAAGCACTTCAGTTCTTCATCACATTACCGATTACAGAACTGCATAAAGAAGGATTTGCTTGGATTTATCAGCTGATTGTTTTACAAAACAAGCAAAAGAAGAGTATTTTTCATTTTTTAAAGAATTGCTAACAAAAGCATCTTCTTCCGTTTAAGAAATGATGTTTGCTGGCTTGGCTCAGCTGGTAGAGCGCCTGCTCTACCAGCTGAGCCTGCCCCGTGTACAGAAGCTACAGTCCTCAACGCACTGGTCCCATGCTGGAACTTATCATTTGGTGCATGTCATCCCCCACATTTTCTGTCATCTTCAGCTTTGCTATCAGATAAAGACATGCCCCTTCCCCCAAAATAATAAAAACAATAAAACAGCAATAACAACAAACCCTGTAGGCTGCTTTATTATTTTAAGGCCCTATGACGCGAGTAAATGTGTCATATCTGATAAAAGCGCGCGTATGCCGCCTTCCTGGATAACAAAGCTCTATAAATGATAATAGGTATGAATGAGTGGAAGTCGTCATGTGGCTTTCTACCCAAATGTAGGTTTTAACAAAAAGGGATTCACAGAACTAGTCAGGGGACACTCTGAGCTGTCCTCTGTGGTTTCTGTGAATTAAAGGGTGTGTGACTGTTGGGATTTAAACCGTTTATAAACTGTGATATTACCATTGACTCCTCACCACCTGAGACTGTCTGAGCTCTTGTTCTTCTGGTCTGGGAACCCTGCTGGTGGTAGACAACAGGGGAAGATGGTCTTTAGTTCACAGTAGGTTTGTGCTTTCTTTGGAAGTAAAGGTGCAAGGGAGCGCTTGGGCAGAGGTGCAGGTCCAGTGAGGAAACACTGATTGGACAAAGGTGGGAATTTATCTTTTAAAGGAGGTGAGGAGTGACAGAAAGGGAGGAGGATTGTGATTGTGGGCCACGGTGGGAAAGTACAGTGGCGGGAATAGGAAACGAGAAGACATCCACTGAAGCCTTCAAGCTTTAAGGTTCAAAGGGGAGCAGGGAGGAGGAAATGTGATTTGAAGAGTGCATTTTGATTGGTTGATGTGATCACACAAATTAAGCTTGAGCTTGATCTTTTGAGCTAACCACCTTTAAAACAAAGACAATCAAATAAAGTAATCAAGAGAGATTGATACCCAGAAGTGATCATAAGTCATCAGAAGTGAATTACTTTGTTGAAGTTCAAAGAATGTTTAAGGTTTGAATGTCAGAAGAGAGCTGTTAGAACATTTTAAATTGCAGCATAACAAACAGAAGACCGTCAGAAGGCATTGCTTCACAAAGACATAACTGTATGTTCTTCTGCTGTTTCTAAGCTACATAACCTGGTAGACAGATATGAACCATATTACCACCTAAAGGTTGCATCACCTGACTGTTTTGATTATGTCTAAACCACAAATGAAATCAAAGTAAATATGTATTAAACCATTTTGACAGATTAAGTCCACATTAAAAAGGTAGATGAGGTGATGCTCCTTACTTTAACTATTGCCAACAAATGCCAATTCAAGACAACTAACGAATAATATACTAAAAAAGTATTGTCCGTATGTTACTAGCCTGATATACAGCAGTTTAGTCCTAGTTACCATAGGCCTCCATTGTTCAACAACTATTTAAAACAGAAAACTCCCACTGTTGCACTTGCTTCAGAAAACACTCAAATCAACTTGTTGTGTATAAATCCACAGCTGAAAATAGTCCTACAACAATGCACTTTCTGTCTTTCAGAAAATGATAATAATTGAGATAAAAATAATACAAAGCCTAAGATTTGAAAAATATACACCAACTAACGGATAGTCACATGTGAAGGCACAAGGAGAAATCTTATAAGCAGTGACCACCAACTTACACATTAAACAGCATCAGGAATAATGTGACCTTTCCGAGATCCACACACTGACACAATTATAGGAGGAAACTGGTCAAACACATGGTTTCCCGTGATGGCTTTTTAATGAGCTAACTGTTGTCCAGGTCCTTATAGATGAGTCATTCAGGGGAAAAGGCTGACATCAGCACCTGTACTTTTCCTCGGCTTGACAATGCCTGGCTCCCTGTTGTGACTCAGCAATGTGACAAACATCTGACTCAGATCTTGTGACAGTGTCTTTGAGCTGAATCTCCACTGATGCTTTGACTCAGGACTCACTGGGGAACGTTTGATCTGATGTGGTGCTGCCCTCAATCTTACTCGTCAAGGATTTTTTACTGGAAGGGTCATTCTGCTGGCACACAGCCTGAAGGCGTACATTTCGACAGAACATCAGACAAAGCTGCGAGTGAATCACAAAGAGGAGGGAGTAGTAGTGAGGAAGGAGGAGGAGGAGGTGTGGTAATCCTACAGTACCAGCAAAAAAAAAAAAAGGAACACTGTGAAATCGAAGAAAGAGCAGGAAGGAAAGGTGAAGAGGAAGCTACTTCTGCAAGTGGAAATTTTAAATCCAAAGAGGAGCAAAGAAGGTTATTAATGAGTGGTACACTTACAGCACTGATACATGCCAACAGAGAGGATGTAAATGAGACACCAAGGCCTGCCTGCTCAAGAAAATCAAGGCACAGTGAAAAGGATGTGCACAATGCTAGTAGTGATGTAACAAGGAAAAGGGAGGAAGTGCGAGAAGAAAGAGAACAGGACTGAGGAAAATGTGGGAGTTAAGAAATATGTACCATAAGAGGAGGAGGAGCCTGGGCCTGATCACTGACACCATCCGTCATGCTCGAGGATCGGAGTCTGTTTGACAGCTGGGTCTGTTAAATAAAAGCAACAAATATAAAAGCTTAATAGAAACTCAGCATGTGCCTACATTGACACCATTAAGTCATTTATGTTTTGACTATTTCAGTATTTCAGTCTCAGGTCTCACCAGAGCAGTGCTGGGGCCTGCCACTTCACCATTCGTTTCTGGAGTGAGTGACAGCCTCAGATTTAAGTCCTCCGAGAACTCCTGGGGGGCAGGTGTCGGTGGGTGTTGTGGCGTTAGCATGGAGGAGGTGCCAGGCAGAGACTCGTTAGGATCTTCTTCTGTGATGAGCTCCCAGGACTACAGAACCATCAAAAACAATATGTTATCAACTTAATCTACTGTGGCTCAGTATCTACATGCTGAATGTGTGTGCATATTCCTCTAGCTCTCTCTTACATTGTCCAGGTCTCTGGGCTCAATGTGCTCGTTCTCAAGGTCTTCACTGATGTGGCGTCTTGAACGGAAAACACGGTGGGCTTCCTGATGGATCTGCCGCTGTTGATTGTCACTCTCAGTCTCTGAAATCACATCCCTGAGGGAGAAGTGTGACAAAAACAGAAGTTATTGTAAACCATAAAATGACCAAAAAAAAGGACCGATAACATCACATTCAGCAGGGATTACTGATACTTAAATTAAAACCATAAAGTAAAATCATTGAGTAACACTGGATACATAGTGCAAACTGTTGCTGCTTAAATAAAATAAATTCTACCCCTGTCATGCCTGTTTGTATAGCCAAGAATAAAATAATTCTGCTAAGATGTTTCAAAAATGACATGTGACATGTTTGGTCTACTGTGACCCAGGGATTACTTACAGAATGACACCTAACCTTACAAAGATGTATTTATACTGTAATGTAACATCATGTATACTTTAGGTAGTGTCCTCTGTGCAGTGACACTTCTTAAAACTCACTTATAAAGACTTGCTTTTAGTTGATCTTGTCTTCTTCATTTCTTATTTTTATTCTACTCGCTCTATTTCCTTCACATTCAACATTTCATTTATTTACTCTCTTAAATCTAGATTTAATGGCTTATATCTGTTTGTACGGCTTCAAACTCTTTATTAAGTCTTTTATCTATTTGTTCTGTTTTTATTGCTTTTCTTTTTCTTTTGTTGCTTTTTTAATTTTACTGGTTTTTATCTCATCTTTGATTGCTTCAATCTCTTTTGTATTTATTTTAGTGTGTGTGTATCTCTAATTGCTCACATTTTCCTACATCTTTGGTCCTTTTGTTCTTAATTCATGTTTTTTTGGGTTCTTATGATGTTTAGGTTAAATTATGTTGGTTGTGTTTTTTCATAGTTTGGGTTCTTATCCTTCATTCTTATGTATGCTTTTACTTCTATGTCAAAGCACTTTGTTTTTAAAGGTGCTATATACAAAACAGAGGGTTTTTTTTTTACTGCTTTACATGATGAACTACTCTTTTATTTGACATGTGTAAAAATAAATGTAGAAATGAGAATGTGAGGAGAGAGATAAGAAGTACATGTTGGAGGGCCGTTTCCACTGCGTATAGCGGTTGTTGTGGTTGACGTAGTAGGTGCGTCCCAAGTTATCCACCTTCTCCTCCCAGCCCGGGGGCAACGGGGGCAACAACTGCTGGGGTCGCTGTGAGCCTGAGTCTGCAGACTCATCCCATCCCTGAGAGAGAGTTCACATTTTTAACACAAGGCAGCATGAGTAACTCACTGGTAGCTTTGGCCAGAGACCCTGTGGTCATAGATATCCCAGTGAGCTGACAGCTTGTCAGACACGCATGAACATCAGCAAACGTGGAGAATTCAAGCATGGCAACACATTAAAGATGTGGATTTACTTGTGGCAGGATAGAGCCTTTCAGAGTACTGTGTTGTGGTTTGAAGTGTTTTGTTGACCGGAGTTTGTTTTTGTCTGACAAGCTGCTGGCTGGTCTGGATATCTCCAGCCAAAGTATCCAAGACTGAGCTAATGTGCATTAATATCACTTCTAGGAATGACAAACTTGAACTGTCCTTCTTGGAAAGTTTGGCAAAGAAGCAACCATGATATAAAACCAGTGAAGCTGGTGTAATAAATTACATTTCAAAGGTCAGCATACAGAGGTAAAAAAAACAAAACAAGAAGAAAAGAAATCCAGACAGTCAAATAAGTTATTTTTTATATTGAGACCATGCAGTGAAGGAAAGGCCTGTCACTGTCTGAAAATGTATAGCATCTTTCTTGAGCTCAACAAGAAAACCACACTTAAACACACAAACAAAGAGAGAAGTTATTATTTCGCCAAATAACTGGCAGTATTGTAAATGGGTTTTCCATACGCTGACCTGGGAAAGACTTTCAACCAGATTCTAAGAGACAGAGAAAAAAAAACAAGAGCCCCCCCCTCTGTCCTTCATCTTAGCAGAAACAACTTGTACTTCTATTTGTCCAAATTGGGAAACTCACTTGAATTTTTATGCTTAGATCTGTGTTTTTCTTTGTGTGGAAGGAAGTAATAAAAAAAGAAAAAAGAATCTGGTTTGGCTTCAGTCTCGTGATCGAAGTGGTGAAAAGGATGCCGTAGCTACTGCTAGGTCAGCAAGTTAAAACCAACTCGAACTGCCAAGACCTTACCTCAGCCTCCTCCCTCACGTCTCCAGCCTCTTCCTCTGGTCCTCCTTGTTTGGGCAGATAGGCCATCTTCAGACGCAGGTAACCTTTCACCCGGGACTTGTGACTAGAAGGATTACATCAGCAAAAATTGACCCTTTTAAATACAGCACAGAAAAAAACCAGGTGGCTTCAGCGTCAGAGCTCCAAGTAATGCTTAGAGGTACTGGGGAGTTTCCAAACGGGCTATTAGTGCCAGATGGTTTTTCATCTTCAGTGTTCAGCTGACCATCCCATGAACTTAGTGCTCTGTGGAGATACTGCACCAGTCTACATCATGTTTAAAACAATAATTAAAGTCACTGTGTGCTAAATGATAGGTCAGGGTATATCATATCTGCTAATGGACACCGTTTAAGCTCAGACTTTGAATTACTGATTTCAAATTTCACAAATCACCACCTGTTTGTCACATTCAACAGAGACTGACCTTCGGGGCCGCAGGAGGAAGTCTTTAAACGTGTAGGGACGCTCCATAGCCGGGTCCTCCGTCTGCAAATTAAGAGGAGGCATGTGTTGACACAAATCAATTGAGCACACAACAAATACGTATGTTAGAGAGATTCAAAATATCAGAGTCATGAGTTAAGAGCACGGCTGAAACCCTCTGCACAGCCAGCGCAGGATCATTATGCAACACCGAGCTTCTCCTGTTACATATTGAACAGCAGGAAAGTCTTTTGAAATTCACTGCAATCTCCCATTGCTCCTTGACAGGGGCAAACCAGTCTATACTGGCTGCTCATCAGAATCTGTTCTGGAAGGTACCACTGAAGCCGACTGTCAGTTTCCACATTGAAAGTAGAAGATACATTTACTTAACAAATTCTATATTTCTTGTTTAATGATGAAGCAGTTAGACTCTCCCTGAGGTCTTTAACATTAAAAATTGATGTCAAGTGTTGTGAATATTTCATCCAAATGAAAAGTATTTCGCAAAATGTAGGCAGTCTAATCTGAGACAAATGTAAAACAGGGCTGTGTGAATTATTTGGCAAACATTTTCATGCTGTCTGGTGTTGACATTGTCTGGAAATGGTTTAAAAGCAGAATGAGTGGGATTTATGATGTGCTGGTTGTAAACAACTTTGAGATTTGGCGCCCTCCTTCTCAACTTTTTATCTTGAATGCTCACATATGATCTGGTAAAATTCAATATTTTGCAATGTGTTTATTGTGATTGCTCAGAGCCCGGGTACAAACCTGTTGCTGAACATTTGACCAGATATGACCATGCAAAAGCTGCTTTCTTTAACAAATAATTGAATAATATTAAATAATCGATAATAATGTCCACAGGTCCTATTAAAGACTACCATCTGCTCAGCTGTGATACATGTATAGTATATATTGTAGGCCTATATTGGTAGATATAGTTGGCCAACTATAGCCATATTTCTAGTGAAGAGGAGAGATCATGTTGAGGAGAGATCATTTTTGGACCAGTCTATTTACACGGTTTCTAAAACCCAGTCTGTCTGCATTTTACTAAACTTTCTTTAGGCATATGCACACTTCAGGTGAGTCAAACATATTGGCCAGAAAACATTAAGTTTAGTATCCAGGAAAAGCTTGGCTAGAGAAAAGGACAATGACTCAACAAATGTCCAGTAACTATGAATAAGACTGCAATTCCTACAGAATGTTATCTGGCATAAAATCAATGGATCAAATTCATTCCAGACCCACTTAGAATGCAGATCCCATCATTGACACAACCTTTGCAGTAGCTCATTCATGCCAGCTCAATTTGTTAAATGGCTAAATTAAATTTAAGGCAGCATTTACTGCATCAGGACCACTGGCTTCATCTCTCAGCATGACTCAGCTTGCTTTTATCTACTGGCAAACTTCTGGAGCTCTGGGAGCCAAAAAAAGGACATTAATAATTAACCCCAACACCTTCTACTGATGTGCTTTTAAGGTTTGCAGCCTGGACAGCTCTTCAGAGAGCCACAACCAGTGTAACAGCTCTCAGCTTAGTAGACAGGGTGCTGCTTTAGAGAGGTTTCTATGTCTATTTGTTTTAGTTTCTGGTCCTGTTTACCTACACAAACCCTAAACTGTAAAAACACCGAAGGAGCACACAAACCTGTTCTTTATGTTTTTGTTTACAAAACCTGATATCTCCAAGGAGTTAACAGCTTCCAAGCAAATATATGTGTGTGAATTTGAGGAGTGTAGCTTTTCCATTGGTTCTGAGGGTCTCACACCCTCAGGAAAGTCACCTCTGTTTACATCTCAGACAGCCGGCCTCCAATTTCTAACAGAGAGCTGTTTGGTTGCAATAACACCAGTGTGGCTAGCACTTTCTCACACTCAGGAAAGACAGACACACACAAACACACAGACTCTTTGCCTGACATTCACAGAGGTTAATCAGGCAGCGTGAAGTAGATAAGAAACAGCTGAGTATTTAAAACAGCATTATAACAGACCGTCTGGCGTGGCACACAGGTGCAAATAACTCACCGGCAAATGGCTGAGCGGAACATCAACCTGGCCCAGGAAATCATCTCTCGTCTAGGAGAGAAAAAACAGGGTCACCTTCAGCAGCTTAATTTTAGAAGTAACAGCTTTTAGAGTGCGTCTGTGGGGAAACCCAAATTTCCAGCAGGGGAGGAGAGGGGGAAAAATCCACAATGTGAATTAACTTAAGCACCACAAAGTCCAGTAGCCTTTGTGCTCATTTGTTGGATAGAGTGAAAATGACAAAGCTTCCATTTTATGGACAGGCCAATCCAGAAATAACCTCTAGACTGTTTTTATGAACACATATAGTGATAAAACAATCTCAGCTGGTTGTTTAAAAGTAAAATGCAATCATCTTCTTTCAAATCTTACTGAATTTAGCATTCAATATTTGCTTTTTGGTCAGCTAAAAAAAGAAAACTATCTGCCAATCAGTACAGATTTCCACAAGTGTCCAAGCAGAATATTCCGACTAGAGTTTCATTTCTGAACCGGCCTGTGGTATCATTTCAGAGGAGAAAAACCCATTAACCCAGCAAGGAAAAATAACATCGACCGCCACCAGATTGAAGCCAAGACAGCTACACAGAGGAAGAGAAGGACAAGGGAGAACCAGGAAAGGTTTATGTTTTCAGATTTAAGAGGCCCGTAGATTTGTCCAACCTTTAGTCATAATAATCAAGTCTGAGAGGAAAAGCGGGAAAATGAAAATGATGGTGGAGCGGGCACAGCAGCAGCCCACACTGGGAGCAGTGATTACCTGTGCCAGATGGAAAAGGCCATTCTTGGAAGAAGCCTGTATGTGGGACACAACTGATTTAGATAGCGGGCAATTACTAACAATGATGCTTGTCTGTAGTTACTGGCTTTACAGGAAAAGGCAGCATTGAAAGAATGCACGACATTGTGTTTCCAAATCCCAGTTATAGTCCCTTGGCGAGTTGTCAGAAGGTCAACATGACTAAAAGACATTACTTCTTGTCCATTGAAGAGTTGAAGACAGTATAAAATGTTTGTTTTTTTACATTTCTCATTTAGTCTTCAAGTTTTAATGTTCAAAAGAAGTATTTCTTTTTAGTGGCATCTGTTAAAGTCGATTCACTGCTGCAAAAAATAATGCAGTCCAAAAAATATGTATGTTTGGAGACCTGTTGTGGCAAATCGACATTACGTCATTCCCAGTTTGACGATGAAATTCTAATGTTTCTGTTTCTGTTTTTTTCAAATATCATCAAGCAAGTTCTTAGGGCTTCCTCAAATCTCATCAAACATTTTGCAGTGTCAGGTTAGACAGTAAAAACAATTAAAAAGTGCACTGGTTTATTCTGATCATCGGGGGGGAAGCAAATAGACCTGGAATTCAACAGTGAAAGGTTACAAAGAAACGGCAAGTTATTAATCCACAAAAAACAAAACACTGAATCGGTGTTGACACTTACTCTCACGCACACAAATACATGTAAACCCACACACAGATTAAACAAGCGCTTTATAGATAAAGTTCAGAATTGGACTTTAAACCAAGGCGTTAGGCACTCCTGATTTCCTTTTATCACCAATCTTGAACCTTTAAAAAAATAGAGGAACTTTAGTTTGTGACCTTTAAACCAGCTAGTGTCAGTGTCCCATGGGACAAATGCACTCATGAGACACATATCTGTTTTTTTCAGTCCTCAACAATAACAAGCATTTTAAGCTGTGGGTATGTGTGTGCAGAGGGATATAATTGCAGAGTCATCAAAGGGTCACAGTTGAGCCTGCAGCTGCCTCTCAGGGCCAGGTTACACTCTGTGTTACTTACAGCCTAAAGGAGGAGGAGGGACCAAGAGCGGTAGATGGTAAGGCTGACGTACGTACATGCACATTTTGCTTTGAAAGCCATCAGTCTCACATGTTCACTGATCAGCTCCGCCTCCTCCTCCTGTCAGAGCGGGTGTCAATGTTTACAATGAAAGGTTATTGTGGCACAGCAATCAGGTTAACTCATAATCCCCTCTCCAAGTTTCAGCAAATAACAACAACATTAAGGTTATGGATTTGCATCTCCATTACAAAAGGGTCTTCCTGCGGAGTATGTGTTTAAACTGATGACTCGCTTGTCTGAAGTCCAAGATGATTAAAAGAAGTGGGCTTTGCCTATGAATCATGGTGAAAGAAGGAGCTTTAAAGACCAAAATTGCAGACGGAGTTATTAAAAATCTCTCTAATTGTAGCTCCGCTAAGGCTTAAATGATAAGCACATTCTATTTCCGACAAATATTTCACAATAAAAGTCCCCAAGCCTAAGCTGTTAAAATGCTTTTATTATGAAACAGTCATGCCAGGAAATGTGGTGTTTTCAGCAGCAGCTTTACACATCTCTGCAGGAGAGAAACAAAACTTAAACCACACAGATTCAGTTACAAGCTGCTAGGACCTAAACGCACAGTGACTTTTAAAAATGTAATCCTTTAAGACTGAAGAGAGATGGAGTGAAGAATTGACAATTCAAACTATAGCTGTACTGAACTGCCATGAATCTACAGGGAGAAGTGGTAACAGACTTAGAGTTTATCATATATAGAGCAACCTGAAACATGTCCAGTCTGGCAGTGAAGTGTGAAAAGGTTGTCCCACCTACTCAACAGTCTCTGTGCTGACACAACTGAATTGCAATGCCATGCAACCCTGAGAGATCAGAGCTGACAGAGAAAAGCCCTTTGCAACAATAGCAATATGAATCCCTCTCACATGCTTCTGGACCAAAATAAAAGGAGACCCCCGCCCCCGAACTGTCCAGCCACAATCCTGTCTCAGGTAAATATAGAAAACCCAGTGGCCTGCAAGAGCTCTTTGTGAATGGCAACTGGGGGGCGCCGAACGAGGGCATGGCACTGTGGCATAGCTGTCTGCACATAGTCTAGCTGGAACACATACAAAACACACACTCGTAGTATCCCATGCAGGGCTTTAAAAAGGGGCACTACAACGTCAGGCTACCAGTTGGGGAAGACCTGTCATTATGGTCTAAATGAGGATTTCCTTGTTGCATGAGAAACAGTGTGCCCGAGGGTAACACTAAACCACGTGTCTCATAAAAGGGAATGGAGAGGAGGTGTTTAAAATGCATTCTAGTATGGCCTAAGTGCTGTCAGAAATATGACTAAAAATAGAAAAAAGGACTGGAGTCAAATTTAATAAAATTACAGGTGCCCCCTTTCTTAGTTTATTATTACTCATCAAATGCGCCGCCTTTCCTTGACGTTTGACTAACGTGTTGAGTGCATTTCCTTCTCCATAACACATTTGTTAACTTGCTAGCAGCGCGCTAACATGCCTTTCTTAGCGCGCTGCTGTGTATTTTGGCACCTTATAGCCACATGTCTATCAGTAGAACAACTTCAAACAACTGGCAGGATTGTATAGTGGGTCAAGTACTTTGTGCGCAACACCAACAAATCAAGGACCCATAAATAAAATAACTGCTGCAACTTAAAGATGGAAATTTCTCAGGGCATTTTGATTGCTTATAATTCATGGGTTCAGAAGTGGTCTGGTGGGTAGGGACTGTGAATGTTCACTACTAGCCAACTAAACGGTTAAACATTATCCCCCCTTGCCCATCAGTGCGAGAATTACTAATCAATTAAACTAACTATTACTCTTTTTTTTTTTTCTCCAATTCAGGCCTGCAATGCCGGTTAAATGTTGTTTCTTGGCAGCCACCCGCCACTAGCTTGGGCTGTAGCTCCAGTTAATATCTATTGCAATACTGCCATAATGCTCTACTACCTAGATGTAATCCAGACCAGTGGAAAGATGGCATCTTGTATCGTGGAGCGTTTTGGCAATATTTTGATCTAGAAAGTGGAGATAAAGCTGTAGGCTGTGTCAGGTTACACTGCCATATTGACCAGAGCCATGTGTAACCAGCATAGGCATGTGGAGGTTAACCTGAGGCTGGGCGTGCTAGCACTGCTAATGTTAGCGACACTCAGCAAACTTCTTTGACATTGTCTACCTGCAGTCGCTATGATCCCATGTGTGTTTTCTTGACTTTACAGTCACCTGTCTAAATTACAATTCACATGTAATAGCTTTAGAAATAAATTGCCTGGAAACATCCCAAGTAGGGAGGTTGCAAGAATAATCCAAGTAGTCATGAGATGATAAAAACAGGATAAGAAGCAGATAAAAATACTGCTATAACATTCAAACTCACATTGGATGAGTGAAAACTTAATCTTCTGGGGAACTGGCATGCATAGAACCCCTTCACCTCTTCTTGCAAAAAGACATTACATCATTTGCAGTAGTCACAAGCCAAAAAGATGAGAACCATGAGTGTTCAGGTTGCACAAGTTCAAAAAAGTGCGAGGAAGGCAGAAGATTCAAGTTTATGTTTACGAGATTCACGGTCAACTCCTGGAATCAACTTTTTAAAGAGATGCCAAAAGGAGTAATTTTTATATGATAAATGTCAACCCTATGGCCCTAATATCAACAAGATCTTACCTTTATTTAGACCTGAGGTACAACATTTACAACTGTTTAAAGATACACGCTCTAAAGTAATAGAAGAAGCTTGTGCATGATGAATTAGGTAATATGATACCCTTATTATAAAAATTAATCCTTAAAATTTGTTTTGCTTACAATGGTTGAGCTACACTAGAATGGGAAAGAAAGCAAAATCATAACACTTCAGGCTTTTAAGAAAAGCAGGTTTTGATAGTTATTAACCTTCTTTGTCCTCCTTTTGGACGTAACAACATCTTAGTTCTTAATCACTCTTGGAGCAGCTGCGAGGATATGGATCCATACCAGCCTAGAGCCAAAGAAGACATGCCGCCTGCCCGCTCTCAAAATCAACAACCACACTCAAAACAGACTAAAGATAGAAACAGCCAACTCTCAAAGAGCACTGGCTGCAGTTGAGGGTATTACCAAACTTAAGTGTCACATTTCCGTGGAACAGAAGGCAACAAGTGCACAGGGAGAAATGATCCATTCACCCTGTTCCTGTTTTCCTTTGGTGACTGACTGAATTGGCCGTTGTGTGTAACATTTCAAATGCCTGTGGTCGCAAAGTGAAAGGAGCCAGTGTGTGACTTAGCTCCTGAGCCATGTCTGTGCTTTTCACCTCCCAAAATGTTACCACACTCTTCCTGCATCGTATCTATATCTCTCATCTATGCCGGATTTATAGAGTGAAATGGATCATATTTGCAAATGCACAAACTGAATGTGATTCATTTAAGACATCCAACAATTGCATAATTTAGGAAGCAAAAATTCCCTCTGGTTCTTGTTTTTTTATTGTCATGGCCCTTCTTCTGGCTACTTACTGTATAAGTCTTTGTTGTTACAACTAATCATCTGGCAATTTGTTATGTGGATGTTTAATTGTAATATTTGAATAAAATCCATTTCAAATACTTTTACCAAACCACCAAGAAGTCTTACTGCCTTTTTAAAATAATGTTTACCTTGGGATTATTCCTTGTCGAATCATTGCCAAGACTCACATCCTGATCTCCAGCTCCGCCTGGGGTAAAATATATCTTGAAATGAGGCTGCCTTCTGGAAACATCCCTACTGATTTTGAAAGTACAACCATTAGATTGGTTTCTTGCTTCCATTCTCTGTGTGCCCACGTCTGTTTGGTTTTCTTCCACAGTTTGAATTCTGGGGAAACACACACGGCTACCTCTTGAGCTGGTGACGCCGAGATCTGGGCATTCATCTTGGGAGGAAGAAGTCTGTTCCCTGTCCTGGCTTTCATCGTGGTTCTTATTTTGCTGCAGCTGAAACACA